CCCGTGCCAGGGAGAAAACTCGGCGATGGCGGTGTGTTGCCCTAAACCGGAGCGTTTCCCACCTCCCGGAGGGAGACTCGATGTGGAAAAATGATGAAGCAACCGCTTGCTGGACTTAAATGTCCGATTTTTTTCACCAAAATGGTGCTGGGAGGGGAGATTTGGGGAGCGCTGCCCGTAAAAGGGGTGCTGGAGGTTGCAGGGTTGCACCCGTGGGTGCCGGGATCTCTGGGCGGCGGCGGCGTGGGTGCCTCAGGGGAGTTTGGGTGCTCCGGGGAGGGGGGTTTGGGTGCCTACAAAGGGTTTGGATGACCCTCAGGGGCGTTTTGGGGTGTCCTCAGGGGGGTTTTGGGGTGTCCTCAGGGGCGTTTTGGGGTGCCGGCTGTAGGGCTCACCTTCTCCAGGGTTTCGATGCGCTGCTTTAGCAGGCGGTTCTCGGTGCGGAGGCGCTGGAGGTGGCAGAAATTGGGAGGAATAAGCCCTGGCGGGGGAACTGATGTCCCCCGGGGAGGGTCACTGAGCCGGGGGACAGCCTGGGGACGGGGACGGGGGACATGGGGGACAAGCGGCCCCATGGCTAGGCTAAGCCGTTCCCGGATGGCTCAAGCGGCCCTTGGGATGGGACAAAGTGGCCCTGGGATGGCTTATACGGCCTTGGGGACAGGCTAAGTGGCCTTGGGGACAGTTTAAATGGCCCTGGGATGGGTCACGGTGGCCCCAGGATGGCTCAAATGGCCCCAGGGATAGGCTAAATGTCCCCGAGGATGGATGAAAGTGGCCCTGGGATGGCTCAAACTGCTCTGTGACAGGCCAAGTGGCCATGGGATGGCTTAAGTGGCCTTCAGGGACACCTTAAATGGCCCTGGGATGGGTCACGGTGGCCCCAGAATGGCTTAAATGGCCCCAGGGACTGGCTGAGCTGCCCCAGGAGGTTTCGAGTGGCTCTGGGAATGACACAAAGGATCCTGGGGACAGGCTAAGTGGTAGGCAGGATGGGCTGAGTGGCCCTGGGGCAACTTAAATGGTCCTGGCATGGGTCAAAGAGGCCCCACGATGGCTCAGATGGCCCCAGAGGTGGGTAAAGCTGTCCCACCATGGCTCAAATGGGCCTGGGTATGGGCTAAGCCAGCCCAGCGTGGCTCGAGTGACCCTAGGGACGTGTCAAGTGGCTCCACGGAGAGGCTAAGGCACCCTGAGATGGCTCGAGTGGCCCCAGGAATGGGTTACACGGCCTCGGGATGGCTCAAAGTGACCCCAAGGATGAGTCAAAGCGGCCCCGGGATGGCTTAAACGGCCCTGGGGATGGGACAAGTGGCCCCAGGCCACCAAAACTGGACCTGTCTCACCTTGATCTCGATCTGTTCCTCCATCTCTTTGTTCTTGATGGCTGCATACTCCTTCTCCAGCCTGCTTGGGACATGGGGACATGCTGGGACGGGGACCAGACGCCTCCCTGGCCCTGTGCTGATGGGGGGGACCCCACCCCAGCGCAGGAAACCATCTCCCCATCTCACCTCTTCATCTTCTTGGGGTTGTACTTGACCTGGAAGGCCTTGAGGATGAGTTTGTCGGGACAGCTGTCGAATTGGTGAGGAATCACCTTCTGGAAGTACTGCAGGAGCAGAAACCGGTCACGAAAACAAGACCCCAAAATACAGCCCGTTGCGTAAACCAGCCCCAAAATAGGGTTTGACGGGTAAACCCACCCCAAAATAGGGCCTGTTGGATAAATCTGCCCCAAAACACACCCTCGTTGTATAAATCCTCGCCAAAATACAATACTTATCGCATAAACCAACCCCAAAATATGGCCCATCCATGTAAACCTAAAATACAGCCCACTGCATAAATCCGCCACAGAATATGGCCCGTTGCATAAACTGGTCCCCAAACACATCCAGTTGGGAGAAACCTGCCCAAAAATACTAAATGTGGGGCTAAATCTGCCCCAAAACACGTCTCCTTGGACAAATCCGCCCCAAAACACGTCCTGTTGGATAAAGCCACCCCAAAATACGTCTCCTTGGACAAATCCGCCCCAAAACACGTCCTGTTGGATAAAGCCACCCCAAAATACGTCTCCTTGGACAAATCCGCCCCAAAACACGTCCTGTTGGATAAAGCCACCCCAAAATACGTCTCCTTGGACAAATCCGCCCCAAAACACGTCCTGTTGGATAAAGCCACCCCAAAATACGTCTCCTTGGACAAATCCGCCCCAAAACACGTCCTGTTGGATAAAGCCACCCCAAAATACGTCTCCTTGGACAAATCCGCCCCAAAACACGTCCTGTTGGATAAATCCACCCCAAAACACGTCCTGTTGGATAAATCCACCCCAAAAGCCACCAGCACGTACCTGGGACATGCCCTCCATGTCGAGCTGGACGAGCTCAGCCTGATTGAACTGGAGCAGTGCCATCCCCACGCGGAAGACGATCTCCAGCCCCTGCGGGAAAGGTCCACGCTTGACCCCACGCCGTTGCCTTTTCCGCTCAGGGTTTGGGTTGGTTTTTTTTTCCCCAAAATCAGACCAGTTGACACGGGAAGAACTTTTCCACACTCAAGCGGAAAAGGCGTTTGCGGTCCCTTCGTGATTTATGGCGTTGGTGGTGGCCCCATTACCTCGTACATGAAGATGTCGAAGACGCGCGTGGCCACGGGAAGAGGGAAGGTGGTGAGGAAGAGGGTGAGGAACCAGGACGAGGCGTACATGGAGGTGAGGAAGCTCTGCGAGCGGAAGTGGATGTTCAGCTCCGGCAGCTGTTCCTGGATGGGAGAAATGGGAGAAATGAAGAGAAACGGAGAACGGTGGATTTTGTTTTAGGGGTCATTCGTGGCTGTTGAGGTTTGAACAGGTCCATGAGGTCTTGTGGTCTCCTGAGAGGTCTCATGGAAGGTCCCCAGGGTCTCGGGGATGTCCCTCAGGGTGGTCCCTGGGGTGTCTCATGGATGGTTCCTTTCGGTGTCTCACAGGTGGTCCCTGGGGCATCTCATGGAGGTGCCCTGGGGTCTCATGGACGTCAGGTATCTTATGGACGGCCTTGGGGGGTCTCACTGACGCCCCCCTTGAGAACTCACGGATGGTCCTCAGAGCATCTCACAGACGTCCCCAGGATCTGTGTTGCTGGACACGAGTTCCTTTGGAGGAACCCATTCCTCCCAAGAGTTGCCACCTCACTCCTACCTCTCTTTGTCCTTGTCCCCTGGCTCTACTCGCTGGTTCCCACCACCCCGAGCGTTTTGGGGGACGTGGGGCGGTTCCTACCTGCAGCATGTACTCAAACTGGTAGATGCAGAGCCCCAGCTCGGCCATGCTGGGTTTGAAGAGCTCCCGTAAGCGGTATTCCTGCATCAGCCTCACGAACACACAGAAAGCCTCTTCCTCGGGCATCTGCAGACCCAAAGGGACATTAATTCCCCCTTAAACCTCTGCCGGCAGCTCCGGATTGGGAGCGTCTTCCCATCAGGTGATGGGATGGGATGGGATGGGACGTGCCGGGAGCTGTCCCCGGGTGAAGGGGAATACGAACGGGGGATTTTAAACCCATCAGGAGTAAGTGGGATGGTGGGAACGAACCCATTTTGTTCCTGAGGATCAAGAAGAAAGGTTCCTGTTCCCCAACCCCATTCTACCACATCTCCAGAGGGTGTTAAAAACCCGTCGGCAGCTCCTCCTCGCCCCGTGGTCGTCACAAACCTGCATGAGCAGCAGTCCCACGATGAAGGCACTACCCTGGCAGTATCCGACCTCCCGGTCCACCAGTGAATAGGCCTGGAAAGAGGAAAAAAAAATTAAAATAATCAAAATAAATACATGCGTGAGCAAGGGGATTGGCCGGGCCACCATCCCTGCTTGCTGTGGAAGGACTTGACCACGGAAAATAGCTTTATTTTTGGTTGACAGTACCGTGACGCTCGAGGAAAGACATTACCTTCATGACGTTGAAAAGCACCTCTTGGCCCAGGCTGTCCTGTCCCTTGAAGAACTCGTGCTCCGGGTAGGTGCGGGCGATATCCCGTCGGATGAGTTTCTCGCAGGGAGAGGACATCTTGAGCAGCTCCGAGTATTGGTTTTTGACGGGCATGTCGGTGGCACTGCAGAGCAGCTGCCAGACGATGGCGCGGAAGTGGTGGGGGATCCCTTTGCGGATGAGCTCCTGCGGAAAAATGGGACAAAAAACTAGAAAATGGGTTTCAAGAAGATGGGGAAACTCCTCGTGGATGGGGAGACATCATCCTGTCCCAGCACGGGGAAGGTTGGTGCAGATTTTTGCAGGAGGGCTAAAAGATAATTAAAAATAAAGCTTCGTCCTCACCTTCAGCAGCTTTTCTTTCTTCTTCCGCCACTCGTCCCACTCGTTGACGATGCGGCCCCAGAGGATCCAGGTGTCTTCCTCGAGGTGGCTGAGGTTGGAGGAGGCTGAGGAGCTGGAGACCAAGGAGGAACCGCTGTTCCTTCGGGAGCCGTTCATGGAGCGCATCGATTTGGAGTCGGCCTCCAGCAGCCTGCGAGAGACAAGACAGTCCCAAAAAAGCCCCAAAAGGAGGAGAGAGCCCCCAAAACTGCCCCCAAGGAGAAGAGATTCCCACAAAACCATCCTAAAAAAGGAGATATTCCCCCAAAAACAGCCTCCAAGGAGAAGAGATTCCCACAGCCTGCGAGAGACAAGACAGTCCCAAAAAAGCCCCAAAAGGAGGAGAGAGCCCCCAAAACTGCCCCCAAGGAGAAGAGATTCCCACAAAACCATCCTAAAAAGGAGGAGAGAGCCCCAAAAACAGCCTCCAAGGAGAAGAGATTCCCACAAAACCATCCTAAAAAAGGAGATATTCCCCCAAAAACAGCCTCCAAGGAGAAGAGATTCCCCCAAAACGTCCCAAAAAAGAAGATACTCCCACAAAGCAATTCCCAAGGAGGAGAGATTCCCCCCAAACCGCAGATATTCCCCCCAAATGCCCCAAAGAAGGAGATACTCCCCCAAAACTACCCCAAAGAAGATATCCCCCCAAAACCACTCCAAAAGAGGAGATATTCCCCCCAAACTGCCCCAAAGGCAGAGATATTCCTCCAAACAGCCATGAAGGAGATGAAAAATGGTCCCCGAAAAGGCAATATTCCCCCTAAAAAAAAACCCAAGTGGAAAGATTCCCCCAAAACCATGCTAAGAGAGGAGCGATTCCCCCCAAAACAAGGAGATATTCCCCCAAAACTGCCCCAAAGGAGTAGATATTCACCCAAAATGCCCCAAAGGAGGAGAGATTCTTCCAAAATCACTCCAAAAAAGGAGATAGTCCCCCAAACCACCACAAAACCAACACCCAGCTGGGCTATCATCTGCCCCAACCGCCAAGGGATGGTTTCTTTAATGAATTTGCTTAAAAAACAGATTTCCAATTGGTTTTGGTTTTCTGTTTTTTTTCCCAAGAGTAAATTTGCTTTTAAATGGTTTTGCAAGGAAATTTGCATTTCAGGGCTTGATTTTAACACCGGTTTAATGCCGGGGATGGAACTTTTTGCCCGGTATTTTGGCTAAAAGTGAGCCTCGGGGCTTGTTTCCCATCAAAAGCAGTTTTAAAACCCACCACCGAAGCGGGTGAGTTTATTCTTTCCAAACAGCCGCCTCCTTCTAGAAATCCCCTTTGCCCGCCTGAACGAGCAAACCCTGCTGCTTTCAAAGAGAAAATATAACCTTGAAAATAATAAACCGGAGTGTTTTCACCCCGGCTGGACCGATGCTTGGAGGAAGTAGCTTGTTTTTGTGCAGTTTCTTTGATTTTAAGGGAAATGCTTGGGGGAAAAAAAAAAAAAAAGACAATAAAAGACTGAATGGGGTGAATATCACCCCAGCGCTCACCGATTTTGCTCCTCCAGCTTTGCCAGCAGCTCCAGTTCATCGGGGCTGAGGTTTTCCGAGTCGGAGGTGGGCGAACACGCTGGGGCTGAGTTGACGGAGGAGAGGGCTTCGTGGGAGGATGAATCGGGGCTGACGGCCGGCGACGCCATGGCGGCGGAGGCCGGCAACGTGCCGAGTCCGCAGGGATTTCGAGGTCTCACCTGGAAAGTCGAGCGTCAGCGTGAGCGGGATGTGACACCCCCCATTTTTTTCCTCCTCACCACATGGCTTCAAATCTCTTTAAAAAAACCCCTGGTTTAGCTAATCTGACAGAAAACAGGATGCGAGCATCGCTCAGTTTGCTGCCCGCTGAGATATTCACTTAATTCCCTAAACCGCCCCCACCCCGTTTAAGCCCCGTTTTTCACATCAAGCCAGGTCTAAGCGCATCGTCCTGCATTTCCCCTAAATTAGCTGAATTAAATTAGCCTAAAAACTGGAATTAAGCCCAATGTACCCTCATTTTGGGAAGGAACGGACCAACGTGGGAAGAGAGGATTTACAGAAAGCTTTCCTTGCTGTGGATTTGCCTTAGAGGTTGATGCCGTCCAGTTTGCCCATTTTGGTGGTGTTTTATAGAAAAATATCTCCCTGGGGAGGAATGAGTCCCAGTTTGGGATCGCAGGGACTGGCAGAAATGGGGTGGAAAACAACGGTTTGAGGAGCGCTGCAAAAAAGAGGGGTTCAAGCAGCTTCTCCGGTGGGGATTTGCTGGAGGATCGGCAGGGACTGGGATCCCTCAAGGCAGGTCTGGAATTTTTTGGGCTGAAAAGCTCTCCTTTTGGTGAAACAATGCTGCTGAAGACTGGCAAAATGAACCCTCGGTCACCGCTGCGGCCAAATGGGATGAAGAAAGCAGAGGAAAGAAATAAAAAGCAGCGGCACCTGAAGGACGTGCCACGAACGCGTGATTTTCCTGATTTGGGCTTAATTTGCTCTCTGCGCAGATTAAGCTATAAATCGGGGAGGTTTTAACCAAAAAGCCATGTTTCCGACCCCTTTTTTCGGAAGGAAGAACTGGCCGGTGGAGCAAAGGATTCTCAGAGGAGACCGGAGCAACGAAGGGGCGATCGGTAAGTGCAGCCACACGGCAAATGGGGAAAATCCCGTGCCGTTTGGTTAACGGTTTCCCAAAAGCAGCAAAATTTAACAGAGGTGCTTCGGGGCAAGCGAGGAGAATCAGGTCAATCGTTAACAGGATCAGGAAATTTTATAAAAAGAGAAAAATGCCTTGATTGTATTTAATTCAGCCCCACGCTGCCCGTCATGGGACGGGGCTCATCCAGCAGCGTCTGCGTCTCCAGGAGAGCCGTTAATTTATTTTTTATAATTAATATTTCCCTGCAAATCCTTGCTGGCTGTTATCAGCCAAAATATTGTTTTAACGAAACAAAATAGTGAGTGCCGGCGGCGGCTTCGCTGCAAAATTATAAGTTACCGATCAAACAGTGGCCGTAGCACAACTTACCAGGGTTCGACGGGCTGCGAAAATGTTCT